ATAACGAAATTAAATAGAAACGGTGAAACCAAGCATCCTTGGCAGACTTCACTAGCTAATGTCAATTAACATGACAACTCTCCATAGACTCTTACACAGCTGCGTGGGTTTGAGTGGAAGGCTTTGGTTAGGGTCGATACTTACTCGGTACTCCCTTTACAGTCAGACACTCACAACAGGGTCGACAAAGCAGGATGCCACCTTCAGATCAAGAAATATAACGACCATCGGCCACCGGGAGGTTTACCTAGGTTTCAGGACCTGTCGAAGGGTGAAAATCTGACCGATGGACCTCTGTCCGAACTTTAAACCTGCCTGGTCTTCTCAAGTTTGTTGTCCCAGTTAGACATGGGAAGACTATAGACCAAAGGGTCTTGGACACGATATAAGTCGAACTAATTCCTCTATGGTTATCACAAAAACACTAGTCTCCATTCATATGAATTAGAACGATTTATGAAATAGACTAGTTTGAAGGAACTTCCTCTGATTCCTATACACTACCTAGTACCTCCATAATTTTAAGCAGCAATTTCTTACCTCCATTCTTGAAAACTTCAAGTGGCAAACGGTCAGGTTTTTCTGCTTTGCATCATTACAGATTCCATACAGCTTTCTCAACTTCCAGAAGGTTCAGGCTGCATGTTGGGCAACTGAAGCGTTGCTGAGGGCCAGTTGAATTGCGCTTTACAGGGTTCCACCTGACCTTATAGCAGTCAGTCCTGGGAGATTAGTAGCGTAGCGCTTTCATTAACCCCATCTTCTTTCGGATATCATTTATAAGTCACCGCCACCATTGTCTGTGATCATTTAGAAGACTCATGCTCAATTTACGCCGAAGTTACTTTTAATCTTCATTGCGGTCATAGACAGCTACAATCATTCTTCTCAAGTCAATCAGCTTGGATGGCACTGTGAATATCGAATTACATTTGAAAAACTTTGGATGAAGATCACCAACTGTCTTCACCAAATTTTCTACAGCAAACTGAATAACAAGTGAACTTCCACCAAGAATGAGCATTGTTGTCATGTTCGGATAAATACTTTACTATCTCCTCCCTAAATATGCACCTGAAGTTCTCGCCTTCTAATCGAGCATACATAGGCTTCATTGTTATCCGTTTTCTGCAACCAGTATAGTGCAGTACTAGCACGTGATTGGAGTTCAAACACACTCCAGAAATAACAGCAATCCTCCGTTGATCCCCTCCAATAATGGCTGGTAACAATATGACCCATTTGTATCGATCTTTGGTTTAAAGTCAGCAGACACTGTGTAGGACAGTTTTTCTTCTTATGCTAGAGGTTATTGCTAGCCAGAAAAAAATTGGAACAGACGATCAGCGTTGTCGGTTCGTTGGCGTAGGGGTGCAAAAGTACCACCCAGACGTTTTTCTGATTACCTCAGCTTCCCTACTTTAGAGTTAAAGTCAGTCGCTATTAGATCTGTTTCTGAAGACTTTGCTCTATATAGCAAGATTGACAACTTAGCCTAGAATTCATCCTTTGCACCATCCAAACTGCAGTCGGTGAGTGTGTAGGTGGAGATTACGAATAGGCACCGCCTAGTCCCACGGTCCTTTCTAGTCCTTATAGACCCATTCATTCTGATAGTACATAGACGGCTGTTGAGTGGTATCCAGTCGAGAAGCGCACTTTCTACGCTACAGTTCACTGTTATGCACACGCCAGCCAGTTCAAGAGAGCTAGACAAAGGGTCGCCGGATACTCTTACAGTGAATTTTCAAGATCCACTACAGTGGCCAGGTGAGGTCAATTTAGTACCAATAGTCGGGGCTTTTATACTCCTAGAAGCATATAGGCGGTTGACACTTCTCGACTGCCCACACCGTAGAAAGTCAGCTCTCTTCAAGGCACCTGGAAAAGAGGAGTTAGTGCGTGACAAAAAAAGGTCTAGGGACTTCTGCTTGAGGCCCAGCAGACATGACGTTTTGAGTTGCTGTTTTCGAATCCGATTATGAACTCATATTGCCAGCTAGAGGTGAGTGTGCCATTTTTAGGGCCAATACTTGCTAACCTTCCAACCCAATTAGTAAGACAGCATCAAAATGGCACTACTGGTCATCCAAGACAAAACTTTTATTCCCGTCACATCCCATCTAGCCAGCAGTACGAGTTCACCCTCAGAACGCCATCATAGTGCAACAATGTACACTACAATGATAATTATTTTTGTCTTACGACTATCCAAGAGGTCTTTCTGGCTTAGTGAAACCTCATGGGACCAAGCGTTCCACCTGATGTAGTTCGTTGGGTTGTTTGATATCTCAGCACAACTACTCTACATCAAGGTAGCAGCTACTGGTCGGCTGCGGTAGTGAAATACTTCTCCAATAGGTTATCCAAGCAACTAACAACGACTAAAGAACTGGATTATGCACATGAATTCGTCACCGAGTGGTGATGAATGTAGCTGTTGAGTCCTACTTCAGCTTTGCAATAAAATAAAAAAATTTTGCTGTTATTCCGTAATCACTTGTTATTTAATCATAGCGTAACGTTATACTACACTCTAAATCTATTCCATTAATGACCGGAAAAAAAATCAAGGATTGAATACTTTTCAGGGCGTAACAACAATTTGAAAAGGTGATATTCAAGCAGAAAGAATAACTGGTTACAAATTTAATAAAATTGACCTAAAATACGCAAACCTTACCCATAACTGAATTGAAAAAAATACAAAAAAGCTGAAATAACTAGCGTAAAACGTTGTCATACCAAATACTAAAGGTTGGAAAAAAACTAGACTGATAATTTTGCCTTCACCTGACAAATACAAAGCAAGAGGAGAGTGTCTATAGTTTTATGAATACTCAGAATTATGGTAAGATTCCTCATTTGTCGAATGAATTTAGTCTATCATAACTAAACTGAAACGTATAAGACCAAAAATCATTACTGACAGTGTAATTAATACCTACTGTTCTAGTATTTCTAGAGAGCTGTATGTGCATGGTGAAGAAATGTAACTACTAGCAGCTGGATAACCAGTTCATTATTAAACTATACATGTCATCCTAGACAATCAGATAGTGTGAACCTTCATCAACTCAGGTAGCTGCAGCATATGTTATACTTGCCAAGTCACTATCCGCCACGTTGCACAATGTTGGCAGAAGTAGGTTTAGGCTGGAAAAAGGTTGAGAGCGTCCAGACTGTCATCATTTTCGTATTCCCGTTTGTTATCACGACTCTGTAGCACCTATGACTGCTTTCCTCTCTATTTCTTTGTCTTTCATCTTAGTGTTGTCTCGCTTGATATGCTAATATGAAGTGTGTTAAACTCCGTTGTTATACCATAATGTTAGTGCCTACAGGTTGGCCATGTCTTTATGTGTCTGTTGTCATAAACCGTCACACATTAGGTGACTACGTAGACATGTTGAACTTTAATGAGATACACTTACAATAGTTCAATTGAGAAGAAAGGTAACTTCGTAAGAATTTTTTGAGATAAAATCAGTATTTCTTGTTAAATTAAGTCTGCTACAGACATTTCAGTTCACTATGAATAACACAACCTTAAGTCAAACTCATAAAAGAATGTTGTAAGTCAGTGAGTAAATTCAATCAGAAGCGAGTGGGCACAGAATGAGTCTCGGTTATCTAGTAATAACCTTTTTCAATTGGACACAAATTCGTTAAATCCACACAGTGATGGAAACTGGAGGTTAATGTTTGCTTTTCTCATTAGTATAAAAGTAAAACTTACTCACTGTGGTAGAATGTAATTCTATTTTATTGATTTATTGCATTCATCACAGTGGAACGTGCTCAACGCGAAGACTGAGGACCCTGAATTCAATCCATTATCGGGTACTGAGTTCATACTGCTGATGAGACTCATACTAGTAGGTAACAGCTGTTCAATGTTCCCAGGTCTCACATGGTTCTCCAACTGATGTCATTCCGTGATGAACACCAACTTGAAAGCAAATATTTCTGAAACTATGCTGATCAGTGCACGATTAGACGTTAAAAATGACTTTTGTTCGAAGCTGGAACACCTGTTGTTTGAATAATCTCTTGCCCCCCTAAAATACTGCCTGCGCTACAAAATATAAGTGTCCTTCAGATATTTTTTCCCAAGTTCAATTAGCTGCTCTATATGTAAATGAGAAAAGCGAGCCTCATTTCTACTGATTTATTACATTTATCACACAGTGGAACAGCATTGTTCACTAGATTACGGAAGTCGTCTCTTTCACTTACTTAGGTAGCGTCATTTCTACTACAGCCGGCACAGGCTTAGATGAGGACGTCAAAGTTAGAATCGGTAAAGCAAGATAGGCTTTCACTAATCTGAAATCAGTGTGGAGATCTACTGCACTCAGCACAAAGAACAAAATCCTAATATTCAACACTAATGCCAGTCACGTCAGTGCTTCTGTATGGTTCAGAAACTTGGCGCGTTACGAAAAGCATTTCCAACGAACTACAGATGGATGGCCAGAATAATAAGAATAAGCAACAAGAAACTCTGGCTGGCTGGCAACGAACCAACCAAGAACCTATCACCCAACAAATATGGTGCAGAAAACGGAGATGGATTGGATTGGCCATACACTAGGAAGACCATTCGGAGACATCACGTGCCAGGCCCTCAAGTGAAATCCAAATGGGAAACGATGAGTTGGGCGTCGGAGGCAAGGGTGACATGGAGAAGATCATGTGAGGAAAAAATGAAAACTTGTGGGAGTTCTTGGAGCCAGGTTGGAAAGACTGCAGATAAGAGAGGAAAGTAGCTATTGGTTACTGAAGCCCTATGTTCCACTACGAACCCAAAGGACAAATAAATAAATAATACCATGTAGGTTGTGAAGAACTGTTTGTAATGACCTTCTAATACTTAACTGTCAATTCTAAAACAGGATAAACCAAAAGTGACACATTTTCGGTGATATCAAGTCAGGCGCTTACTGTGAATGAAATGTAACTAAGATCTAATGAAAAAAATAACCATGCATAATTACCTCATTGAAAATCTGCTTTGATTGACTAGATAGGCGACTGATATTGGCAGAGCTTTCTATATCTATGGAATTTGTCAACTTCTTGATTTTAGCACTAGAGTTGGCTGATGTATGCGATGATAGCAGGATGTTTGATTCACGGTTCTGATTTAAAGCATTTCGATAGCTTAAACGTGTTAACCTATTTTCACTAGATGCTCCAATGACACCAGATGTAGTGATTTTTGCACCAGGAGGAATTTGAGCATAGGATTTCGATTGGTTGCCAGTATTACTACAATCCAGGGGATTTATGGTTGGTGAGATAGTTGAGGCATCAGACTTGGATAAAGGAGGTATGATCTGGGTTGGATTACATGTAGGAATGACTTGAGTTAAATTATCACTTCGTCTACTATGGGTTCTGTGAAGAAAAATAAACATAGAATAGTTGTCAAGAGTTGGCAAAAAATTACTTAGTCACTTCAAAGCATCATGAAAAGACATCAGATAAAAATCACAGCAATGAATACGTTTTATGCTGGCTCAGGACTGCTTAGTAGTGTGCGCCAACCACCAAGTAAGTGATTGGACATAAGACTGTTAAGTACCACAGCTGACAGGTTATTGACGATGGCGGTGAATAATAGACACACTATGTGACAATATCAACTAGCGAGTTCAAAAACCAGTGACTGAATGGTAATCTGATCACTGTGATGCGGTGATTCATTAAAGTCGAGAGATGTACACTAGTCAGAAGTTCAAAAATAGAACAAAGTACCTATAGAGTGCTTCCTATTCTCCAACGGTTCTACGGTTGATATCTGTTTGCAAAATAAGATGATTACAAGATTATCAAAATGAAATCGTCGAAAAAAACTTTCTTATAATAACGCTAGAGTGTATTAGAATGAAAACTATGAACAATGTTGTCGTGCTTTATTGAAATATATGTCAAGGATTTCAGCATTTCCTCAAACTTAACTCCTTCCTCATTTTTAATTTACTGTTCCGGTCTGATGAAAACGCCTACTGACAATGAATTAACAAGCATTTTGTAAGTTAATTTGAAATTTTAGATCTTAAGTTAGTTTTCTAAGGGACAAGAAACTTTTGAAAGCTGGAATCACGTGTTTTGCCATAGTCTCAAGTTCCTCAGTATTGCATACCTATTATTCGATACAACATTGAATTCATATACGTGATAAAGACAAATGCTCAGCGACAATACTGCAAAGAAAGCTGAAGAATCTGAACCATTGGTAGCTTGCAGCACAGTAGGAAATTTGACAATATTAAGCTCCAGTAATCAATATTTGGAAAAGAAAATACAAGAAATACAAGAAAATATCGCTCTGTTGGTAAGGTATATAACCAGGTTTGCTTTGTACCGAATAGATATGTGGCTGAGGAAGTCTGTGTACTGACCTAATGATTTGGTCTTCATGTAAACAGATCTGTTGAGTGAACCATCTTCTGTTCTACTTAACATCGTTGACAGACAAGTCTATATGGTTGGCTTGATTTTTATGTATGTTTAACTATTTATCATATCAGAGTAACGCCTGAAAAGGACCTAATTAAAAACAATATTGTTCGCCTATAGGTCTTGTTCTAATTTAAATGATAGGTACTTTTAAAGCTGTTAATCAGTATTTGTCAACTTCTGAGCATAAAATTTAGTGGATAACTATCCTTCGACTTAGTTGTTTCTTTCATAAGTATCTATGAATTACACCTGAAGCAAAACTATAGTTTTTCAGCCTAGAATATTCGGTTACATATCTTTCGTCTTTTGCATTCTTTTTGAAATATTGTTCTGGTAATAGTGGAATTGTAGAGGATGCTACCGATAAGAATGGATATAAGTGGTATATATTGAGAGGTAGGCAGAAATCATAGGCAAGCGATGGGTTATTATTCTACCCAGAAAAATGCAAGAGTCAATACGGGCGTATTAAGAGCAAATCGATATCGAAAAAGAAGAGGAAATGAAGCACACTGTGAAAATAGCCATTTTAATGGAAAGTGTACAGTACTTCATGAGTACTATACAAGATTTCATAATAAATATTCTGTCTCAGTTTTTGACGCTTCTCATAGTATGTATATACATACATAACATTGCAAAGACAAAATGAAAGTAGAATCTCGTAGAAAACTGCAGAATTCCGCTATGAAAATGTTAAATAAAGAGAACCTATTCAAATCTTATGCGATAACTGTATAAAACTTAAAATTTCACTTTTTCAAAATAACTAATTAATTATCCACAATGAGATTGTATTTAAAATGTCTAAATGGTATATTGAGCAACGCTACCTGGAGAAACTACGACCAAATGCACGTGAATTCCGTCTCAGTTCCATTAATGTGGATAGTGTACGACCAACTCCACCGACTGGGCCACTAGTAGTCGCAGTCGACAGACTACTTCGTCTGGTTACCGAAAAGTAACGTTGAAACCCCCTAGCGACTCTTGACATAGCTGCATAAAGAGCAGTAGCAGATATTGTTGAAGATGATGTCTGTTGTTGAGTAAAACCAGTAATCGGACGATTTGATGGCACATTTGTAGGTTCTCGAACACGAAAAAATGCATGACAGCTGACAGCATATTGCCAAAATAATTTCGTGCTTACTGCTGACTGAAAATGATAGTGTTGTTTCAGTTCACTCTCTGATTTGATTATTGGACTTGTTGTCAGTCCAGAAATCGATGAAAGATGACCATTCACTGATTTCTAAAAGACAAGAACGTTTATGAGAACTTTATTTTCACTAACAGAAATATAAGTCAATAAATGTGATTGTTTTATCTGATTGTGATTGTTCTGTCCATCTCCAAATGGAATTGACTAAGCGCTCATTGTTGACTAGATTCGAGAGGTGATTCCTAAAGTTCCAATAAGAAGTCTCGACCAATGGAGTCAACAAAGTCGAACATGGGGACAGTTACTCAACGACGACACTGGATGTAGGTCACGCCATATAATGGACTGACAGATGTAGGATATATGGACCATTGGATTCTGCCGACTCAGTGACTCATTGGTAACGTGCTGGTCACGAAACTTGAAGACCCTGGATTCGATCACTAGGTAATGTGAGATCGTGGGTGCGCACTGCTGAGGAGTCCCATACTAGGATGAAACAGCTGTCCAGTGCTCCCAGATTTTCAATGGTTCCCCAACCGATGTCAGTCAGTCCATGATGAATACTGCTTGTAAATTAAAAATCCCCATTCATCTGAAAAATACATTACTCTATAGTGCTCATTAGTGACTTGCTTCCAGATGGATGTCAGCAAGTTCTAATGAGAAGGCGTGACATATGGGGTCAACCAGTCGGAAGTGAAGTGTATGCTAAGTGAAGGGTAAGACGTTGGGTGACAGTCGCGCTATGTCGTGAATTGACAGAAGTTGGAAATTGTGAACCAGTGGAAACCGACCCAGTGGCTGAATGGTTAAGGCGTTCGCCGTGAAACCTGAAGGTGCTGAGTTCCACCCCTAGTCGGGTCGTGGGTGCGTACTGCTGAGGAGTCCCATACTAGGACGAAACAGCTTTCCAGTGCTCCAGGGTTTCTAATGTCCCTCCAACTGATGTCACGCTATGATGAATTCCAACCTAAGATGTGATTGCTACCAGATGAAATATTTAATAAGGAAAGATTATATAAACATGAAAATAACTTCTAAAAGAAACAGTCTGCCGAAACTGTAAATATTCTTTTCCATCTTTTATTGAAGTTCAGTGGCACTTAATGCATAAATGACTTCAAAACAGTTACAATCAAACGAAATGGTATATACTCATACACCTACCTAAGTGGCTGAAGAGTGCGGAAAAGAAAACCTTGTGAAACTCGATAATTCAATACCGAACAGACTGTGGGCATGAGATATTGATACTTATAAGTCGTTTCCAACTATCATTAAGCGTTAGGATAAAATGTGTGCAGTTGCAGAAGTTTAAGGGATTCTGGTTGTCAAAACAAACTTCTATGTTCAAAAGGAAATGGTAATTGACCTGAATCCATCATGGTGGTGACTGCAATGTCGTCTAATCATGTTTACTCTTTCCTACTTGCTCTTTGCTCTGAATTATTAACCTATATGGTACTTCTCTCTTGCTTTTCTTTCCCGACTCATATTACCAGTCTCATTGTTGCTTAATTTAGGCATTTTTGAGGATTCCATTGATCTCACTTTGGTATTCATCAAGGAATGACATTATTTGGAGAACCACTGAAAACCTCACAGTACTGCATACCTGCTTCCTACTAGCATAAGACCATTCAGCAGTACGTATCCATCGCCCCAGGACCTCCAACTTTTGTGGTGAGCACGGTGCAAGTGAATTGGAATTCAACAATCTACATTTTCCTTATTCTGTCAACCCGCGATATTTCCGCTTTATTTCCAAATCGGTTGACCCCATAGATCACGGCTCTTCACTGAAAACTTTGGGATATCCATCTCAAAGCATCTCACGAACGTTACCATGATGTACACAAATGGTTTTCGTATCATAGCGTCTTGAGTGATTACTAACTAGGCTATTCAGAATGGTGTAATCTACCCCAAACAGATTCAGTTCCTACTTAGGTATCAATATTATTAAAATTTAATCACTGTTACCATTGTTCTGCCACCAAAAATCCATATGACTTCTTAGACTTCGCTATTATCCGAATCCCTATTCAATTGGAACATTCGCTGGTATCCATTGCATTACCATCTGACCTGTTAAAAATTGTTCATTTCCTGATTGTCACACGTAAATCGACATCCCATTCTACGTTATACAAGTATGTATGTTCCTTTATATTGTTCGGTGGTATATACAGTCAAGTACATACAAGTATCCCGCCTTAGGAGTTCCACCGAAATTTATGAATTAATTATATCCTGCTTAATATTTCTTGCTTGTTTTAAATTTTTATCAGGAAATAAATGTTTTCAAAATAATATAAATTGGTGACAGTCAATTTAGTCTTCTGTATCCGTACTGTATCATCGATCGACCACCTACTAGGGTTGGTCCGACTTTCCAAATAAGTTAAGTGGCCAACCTGCTCAAATCGTTCACTCCCTGTCGGTAAACAAGACACCAATCCAGAACAGTCGTGGAGCAACAATGTGCATTTAGGTAATGGAGAACCCATCTCAAGCATTCTTAAATTGCCGCTAAATGTTTCAGTCTTCATCCAACATGACTATGTCATCTGCATACTCTACACCTACTAAGGATTCTCTTGGGACACAATCAATCCCTATACAGTCAGGTGGTGAAAGGATTCCTCCATAAGTACTTCTACAACAAAATGGAATAATAATGGAGATTGGATGTTCTTGATGGAAACTACTCAAAGAACATAGGCCCAAACACATCCATGCCTTCAACGGGGTAATGTACCTACTTGACACCTCTCAGTGTGAGAAACTACCATAAGACTGGTTCGAATCTGCCAGCGGTCTAAATCTTCATTTCACCTTCAATCATCATCTAGTATTAATTTGAATTGACAAATCATTTCCAAAGTATAAAAAACGAAAGTCTCTTAAAAGAGTGATGCGTTAAGCTGACATTGAATTACCTAAGAGTGAATGAAGTTAAGTAAGAGGAGAAAATCATGATCATTCTTGACAGAGATCCTAACTTCAAAAGGATAATAAAATGAAGGTGGAGTAAGGTAGATAACTTGAGGTAATCTTTTCGAAACTTTAGGCTACAAGTTGCAAACCATTAGTTAGTCGCTATGCGAAAGGTGAAGGCAACAGACTGTGTTGCCTATACATAAACCCAACGATAACCTTCATCGTCAGCAGATGACAGATATATTCTTTTTAAGGTAGTATTCACCACGCACTACATATAAGTTAGAGCACCACTGAAAACCTGGGAGCACTCGACAGCTATTAGATCCTAGTATGGGACTCTTCAGCAGTACGCATGCATGACCCAGCTAGGGATGGGATTTAAGGCCTTCAGGTTTCATGGCTAGTGTGAAAGTCTTTGTAGATAGTTTCAATAGTTTTCCATATATAAAATCGGTCGCCGATTAAACAACTCATTCCTAAAAAACAGTAAAATCTGACATTCAATCTTTCAACTCACTGTACTAGTTTTCAAATGAAGGGTAAATCGTTTCCCTTTGAAATTGATTTTAGCAATATTATCCCTAGCAAAATAAATGAAAAACGTAATTGGGATAGACAACAATAATTATTAACAGTTGATATTACTGAATGTGAAATGAAACAAAAATTGAAAACAATAACTATTCCCGTTTCATAATCTTAAAGCGGCCAAAAGTGGAAATCAACATTAACAGTCATCGGCCTTTGGGGTAGAAATGTTTTTTTTAATTTCGGATTTTGCTTTGTCTATAAATGTACATAATAATCTTATTGGAGGATTCCGTACGTTGATGTAGCCAATAAGATTGTGGTATTCTATCTATGGCCTAGAACATTTTTGTTGGCGTGGGAATTGCATATGCATATATGACAGTTCATCAAATAAAGTCGTCCTTGCTGTCACAGGTCAGCCTGTTTTCCGAGATTTGCATGACTCAGCAAAAAATGTGATACGTAAAAATCAGTTAAGTGCAAACAGAAATTTCAGCAATCCTAGCAATTCAAATCACAAAGTACTGGACACCTAACTTCCTGTTTGTGAGAATTTACACTGGATCGAATTGATCAGTCTCTCTTGGCATACAGACTTCTCAATACTGCCCCATTTTTCTTTGGATGTTATCTGCTTGATGGTGGTTAGCAATGGAATTCAGGATGGGAGTCTCCTCCAATGTGAGATTCACCAGCTGGATGTACCTGAGTGCTACCGAGAATTGGTGTTCCCACTGAACCTTGAACTTAACACATATTACTTAACCCAATAGGCTACTGAGTACGTATCACAATTTTGTTGAAATCAGACAGATAATAATCAGTTTGGAGACTTGTAGGGCTTTATTTATTGGTTTCTGGTTGACATTAAATATGAATTGACATCAGCTGGAGAACCGTTGGAGATCTAGAAGCAGTGGAAAGTTATGTCGTCCTAAAATGGGGCTCCTCTGCACTGCGTATCCATGGCCCCGCCAGGGACCGAACCCAGGACTTCCAGATTCCAAGGCCAGCACGTTATCATTGAGCCAGTGGGTCGACATCTAATGATCCACATGCTGAATTCCAACAATAACAGTAATACTAAGAATACTGATTCCGTCTTCTATTCGTGATTATTTAGGACAGCGTTTGAATTACAGTAGACATCAACTTTAAATGAATTCAAACGTGTAGGAACGCGTGAACATTGAGATCGATTTCTAAATGTAGAAACCGGTTTACATCACATACTATTTAAAAGAATGATTCCGGGCATACATACAATTATATACATACAAGCAATTACACTAAAACCATACCCGTCGCACAAGAAGTGTCTATTGTGGCTCGATGGTGTATTGGATAACGCTCTGGCGTTTGAAGCGATCGCTCCCGAGTCCGAATCCCAGTGGGAACAACATCACTCACTGCGAAGTAGTTACATCCAACTGACGAAACACAAATAGGACAAAATACGCATCCTGGGTTCCAGTGCTAACCACGACCCATCATTAGTACATAAAACTACCGAGATAACTAATTAGAGTTCTGTATTTCCTGAAAAACTAGCTTTCTCGCTGAAATACAAAAACCTAATTGGTTATTTCAATCGTTGCTAGGACGGTCTTTAAAGTCAGTCAAGGTAAATATTTAGGCGAACAGACAACTTCAATCATGTTCATGGTAAATTTTTTGTGGAGTAGTAAAAAATTGTCCATCCCTGATTATTTAATTGGTTAAAGGTTTCTATTCCTTGCCAGAGCACGAAAAGCTATTTATTCTCAGCTGCCTGTGCATACCACGATTACATTTTTGCAATCAGCATCATGAGAAAGTAGTCAATTATCGACTTGTTTCTATGTACCTTGTTGCAAAGAGAGGATACTTACCACAGGCATAAAGAATAATTAATTATGTAATACGACCTAAATGATAAGTCTTTTTTTTCAGAATAGATACCTAGATGCTCTCATCCTCATGCATGTTTGAGTGCATCCCGCAGCTGATAACAAATCAAGTCAGAATACTACTTAGTAATTTTGTAAATTCGCACATTTTGAAGAGGCAAACATATTACATACAAACAGGAAACAAATAGAAACGCAAATTTATCAAAGAAACAAGGAAATATAGTGAGCCAACCGGGAAATTATTTCTCAATCTATTTTTTTTCTCAGAAACATAATTACCAGGATGTTACGTAGCGACAAGAAGGCAGCCAATAGGGGAGTTTTCAAGTCGTGATGAGATTATGTTCAGGTCATGATTTACGCATGCGCTGACATGAAAACCTGATTGGAGGGATTCGACCTCGTACAAGAAATCTGATTAGTTCATTTGTGGCTTCAATTTCTGAGAGTTTTGTAACTTCATATATGTGATGTATTTGTCTAACAAAAGTTGTTGTCGCTGTTCTTGCAGTCACAGGCCGTCTTTGTCTTCTGATTTTACGCGGCTAAGTGAAGAGAAGGTACTGAGGGAGGTCAGTCGTAAAGGTATTCAGTTGAGGCGTTCATTGAGTCCCGAGTATTCATTATACCCACGCGCGCAAACCCACCACTCGGTCACAACACAGGACGAAAACGTTTCAATAAAATCTCACTTGGTAATCAAAATGATAGACAACTAAAAGTGACAATGAATTTTAAAGGCCATATATGATTCCCATAAGCATACTATTACAGTAGTGCACATCGCAGACTAACATCATTTGGAGGACCATTGAAAATCTAAGAGCGCTGAATAACCATTCCATTCTAATACTCATCATTGCACACCCATGATGCTGTCAGGTATTGAACCGAGAACCTACTGGTTTCATGACAAGCGCGTTACCATCGATTACCCAGGTTGAAATCTCATGGTCCACGTTTTCCGACTTCTGTTTTTTCACTACATAGCACAATCCTCATCCAATACCACAGTTGAGTACCTGCTCTTACATCTGACATGATTTTCCCCCCAGTCACGATTTCTCACGAGAACTTCAGAAAATCTCATCTCGGATTTTGGTGCTATGGCGCAGATTAACAGGAGTAGGAAAGTGCAGACCACCGGGCTTAGACATGTGGCTCAGTGGTAATGTGCTCAAAGCAAGATCTACGCATCTTAAGTCCGATGTCCACTTGGGTTCGCTGCACTCAGTTTTCCAATGGTTTTCCAAGTGACGTCAGTTGTTGATGAATTTGTCGTGGAACCAACTAATCCGCACAAACCTGGAAAATGATCATGCTGTGAGTTGGTGTCCATTGACATTCACGCACTACCCTTTTTTGCTGGTGGCTTTTGCATTCATTGAACATCATACTAAACAATTTTACTACAAAATTGTCATGATTCTAAACTAGTAAGTCAAAGAAATACAGTGAAACCGTAACTGCATTCGGATCAACTTATGTTATAAAGGGAGACCACCAACGATTCACAAACTCAGTCTGATATAAGTTCACTGTAGTTTGTATGAAATGCTAACAACCATGGTGAAAATGTAAACAATACTAAGATAATAGGGACACGTTATTTTATCCGAAAATGGCTACATATGAAGCAAGAGACTTATCGCACCTACGTGTTTTCCATCTGAAAAGACAAATTCACCTCATTCATACGAGCAGGGTGGTCATAAGTATACATTTACCGTATGTTGAAAAGAAGTAAAATGCCACTACAATTATATAGAGATCTGTTACGCTTCGTATTGCCAATACGCTAAATTTTAGCTACCATGAGTAACTACTAGCTATGTACTCAGTAGTAAACACTTTATCGGACAATTTCAATTGCGTTTATTAATTTCCAAACACATTGGAAAGCAACGTCATAAGTGCAAGGATGAACAACAAGCAAAGAAATTAAGTGCAACGTATAAAACACTCAACAAAGAAGTGAAGAAGAGTGCACGGAAAGACAGAAGACATTTATATGACACACTGGCAAGTGAAGCAGAACAGGTAGCTGTTAGGAAACACCTTAAAAACCACACCAAATTAACCAGATTACTATCCGGGGAGATATCAACACAGATGAAAGCAGTAAAAGATGATGAAGGAAATCTAATAACCAAAAAAGAGAAACAAGCCAAACGATGTGCTGGCCACTTCAAAAGGCTCTTGAATTGACCACCGCCTGCACTTCGCCCAGAAATACCACCTGAAGCCACAGAAATAAACAACACAGGCTCTTCGACGAAAGTCGAAGTCCTGAATGCCATCAAGCTGATGAAATTCAAGAAAGCAGCACGACATCATGGAGTTCCACTAGCAGCACCAAAAACAGACGCAGGGACAACAGCATACTTGTTCACACCACTACTGCAGAAGGTCTGAAAGGGAGGAAAGGTACCTGCAGATTGGAAAAAGAGCCGCCTTGTCAAACACCAAAAAAAGGAAACCTAAACCTTCGAAGGAACTAGCGATGAATCCTGCTCCTGTCCATCGCAAGCAAAATACTATTCCATATCATCCTGGAGAGACTAAACAATGCTCTGGATTCAAAACTACAACCGGAACAGGCTAGGTGGCTTCAGGAAGAACAAAACATGTGCGCATCAAATTGAAACGCTACGCATCATCATTGAACAGAGCATAGAATGGCAGTCAACTCTCTACCCCAACTTCATTGACTTTGAAAAGGCCTTTGACAGCGTCGACCGACAAGTAATTTGGCAGTTGCTTCGACCCTACGGAATACCACAAACCCTTATCAATCTAATTCAACAGCTATATGAGGATGCTACATACCAGGTGATTAACAATGGAAAACTCAGTGACGCCTTCGAAGTAAAGACCGAAGTAAGACAAGACAAAGTTGCCTACTATCACCGATGATCTTCCTGATTGTGGTCGACTGGACTGGATCATGCAACAAACCGTGAGGAGCGAGAAGATGACCATACGCTGGACCGATGAAAAGACCCCAGAAGATTTGGATTTCGCCCATGATGATTTATGTCTCATAACTTATGTCGCGCAAACTTGAAGATCTACAGGCGAAAACTAACAAGTTGACAGGAGAGGCAGTGAAGAAAGACGGGACTTCAAGTGAATGTAGAGAAGACATAGGTGATGAAGATACTCAACCAACAACAGCATCAACAACAATCACCATTAACGGAAGGAACCTAAAGGAAGTAGTCTCTTTCACTTACCTAGACAGCATCGTCTCAACTATAGGCGACACAGATGAGGATTTGAAAACCAGGATCGGAAAAGCAAGACAGGCTTTCACTAATCTGAAATCAGTATGGAGATCTACTGCACTCAGCACAAAGCGCGAGCAAGATCCGGATTTTCAACACTAATGTCAGTCAAGTCAGTGCTTCTATATGGTTCAGAAACTTGGCGCGTTACGAAAAGCATTTCCAACAAACTACAGACATTTATCAACAGCTGCCTACGCTCGATACTGAAGATCATATGGCCAGAATAATAAGAATAACCAACAAGGAACTGTGGCTTGGCAACAAAATCAACCAAGAGCCTACAACCCAATAAATATGCAGAAGAAAGTGGAGATGGATTGAGAAGTTCCGATTGGGGACATCACGCGCTAGGCCCTCGAGTGGAATCCAAAGGGAAACGACATGTTGGGCGTCCGAGGTGGGAGTGACATGGAGGAGATCGTGTGAGGAATAAATGAAAGCTTGTGGGCAGTTGTTAAGGCAAGTTGAGTGGTAGAAACCTCTTTAAAGGCACTATTCCTTCATATTGAGAAAGCTTTGGAAATAATAATTAATGAACATAAATTTTTATTGTTTCCGTTTCCCCGAAGTCCAGTGGCCAAGTTAAATCGAACCCGTGTACTCAGAAGGAAAGGATAATCAGTCAGCGTCCACTACGATATTCTTATTTGTTTTTTTGTACTCCACAACCTTTGCCTAATCGTGTTAATTCTACTCACATCACTTCTTACCTGACACAAATCAGCGACGGCTTTGGATGTAGGTCGTGCTATGTCGTGAACTGACAGAAGTATGAAATGTGGACCACTGGATTCTAAATCAGTGGCTCATTGGCAACGTGCTAGCTACTGAACCAGAGAGTTCTGGGTACCATCCCTGGAGGGTGGGATAGTGCTTTGCGCACTGTCGAGGGGTCGCACAGTAGTTGGACGAAACAGCTCTCCAGTGCTCTCTGGTCTCCAATGTTCTTCCAACTGATGTCAGTCTATGATGAATTCCAACCTAAAATCGATTATTAAATCTTCACAAATCTTCAGATAGAATTACTCCAGAGCTCACTGATGACTAGCTTCGGCAGGTGATTCGAGAATTTCCAATGAGAAGTTAAAACCAGTGGAGTCACCCAAGTCAAACATCTTTATCGGCGGAACTTTTTTATCCCTTTCCAATTCTTTCCTCCTTTCTTAAACTTACTATGTTTGTTGCCTAGACTTTTTTATCCACTTACCTCGACATTCAGTATTACGTAAATTTTATTTTCCCAAGCTTTTGACCCAGTTTTATTATCCAACTTTCTACAATTTCATGCTGTTTTCTTGGTTCTTATCATCAGTATCATCTGTTTTACGACTGCTTTAGTCAACATGGTTACTAAGACTGCCAACGTGATTATTATTGTCACCATCATTATCACCCATATTTTAAAATACCTGTCACGTTAACGAACAAATTTACATGATTGACTTAATTTTTATGTATATTAAGCTGTTTGTACTAGGGTAAAACCTGAATATGATCTAACTGAAAACATTTTTGTTTGCTTATGTCTTGTTATAGATCTATCCAAAAGATAAGGTGAATTTTTTTACGAAAACTTTTATGAGATTATCAAATATATGATGTGATTATTCCATAAAATAGTTGACTTATGTAACTATCAACTTGATTACAACGTACACTAAGCCATACCTATAGTGTTGGAACCATTGATACTACGTATTTGCCAATGCCTGAGTAGACAAAGTGAGTTCGAATTAGCGGTCTATCAGCTGAAATTTGCCTACCTAAACCAATGAATCACAGCCCCAGACACAATGGTGTAAATATTCCGGTCACATAAAGCTCAGTCGATTGAAAGCAGTAGGTGAGACATTAACTCGTCTAATAACCTTAAGCTTTTGACTCTCTGATGCACATCATAAAATAAAGCACCTATGCTAAAACAAGATCCTGAGTCCGATCCTTAGCCAAGTCATGGGTGCATACCGCAGAGGGGTCCCATACTAAGACGAAACAGCTCTCCAGTCCTCCCAGGTTTTCAGTGGTTCTCCAAATGATGTCGCTCCTGATGAATACCACCTAAAAATTAAAATCCCCGTTCATCTCAAAAGTACATTACTGTTATGTATTCATTAGTGACATGCTTCCAAATGGATATCACGAAAACCTGTTGGGAAGCCTGTGGGGTCAACCGGTCGGAAGAAAAGCGGATGCCGTCTGATAGACGTGTCATATCATGAATTGTCGGAAGTTGGAAATTGTAAACCATTGAACTCCAACTCAGTGGCTGAATGGTTAGCGCCTTCGCCGTAAGACCTGAAGTTCCTGAGTTTGACCCCCTGCAGAGTAGTCAGTGCATACTACTGAGACAAAACGGCTGTCCAGTGACCCCAGGTTTTCAATAGTTCCCCAGTTGGTATCACTCCGTGATGAACACTGCATCAAAGCTAAAACAATCTGCTTATTTATTTATTATTTTTACAACTAAATAGCTGATGGCGATATAAGGAAATTGGCAATAAATTCCACGCTGAAATTATTTCGAACCGACGTTGGACGACAAGACATTGAAAATCTGATGGCATGGGACAGTATAGTATAGGACTTCGTAACAGTGCACACCCAAAATGCCACAAAAGATTGAGCCCGAAATCCAATGACTAAATGGCGACGTGCTCGCCATGAGGCCTCACAGTCCTGTGCTCATTATCACGTACAGTCGTGGATACCTGCTACCGATGTGGAGTCTCATGTAGTGATGATGCAACTGTAATGAATAAATGCAAAACAAAAGGCTTGAATGACTTACCATGAATACTGCTGAAGCATTTTATTTTCTCGAAACAAACTTATGCCAATAAAGGATACTCCAATGGTTATCGTTTGAAGATCGTGTTGTCCATCCTTTTGAAAGAGGATGATAAGTAGAGGAAATACAACAGCCACTATTCAATTTAATGAAGTATTAAATCATCTATAAAAAATAACTACCAGTTCAGAAATCCTTCAACAAAACGCTTCTATATTTTACTTATTTTAATATTCAAGCGGGACATTTGTGATATTAGAACGTAAAACCTGTTTTAACAGGAACGCTTAATGTTTGACAGGAAGCAGCCTAAATCAACATTTTAAGTCATCAACCGCTAAATATAGAAAGCTTTTATATTTCAACTTTCATTTCATGTCGCTATGTGGTCAAGAAAAACCTTATTGAACAACCCTATCCTTCAGGTGACCAATCAAAATAAAACCGTTTAACTTTTAACCTAGTGGTTTTACATGTTCATTAAAACTGCATATAAATGATATATTTTTGTTGAATAAGGTGTCTTTTCACAGTCACAGGTCAGTCTTTGTCTGCATGTATTTTTGAAGACTCTGTAAATAGTATAAAGTACTGAGTGAGAACAGTCACTATTCGTATTCAGTTCTTCTCTCATCAGGTTGGTATTGTTCGCCTACTTCTTACTACTCATTCAGACACTTCTACAAAGGATATATTAAATCTAAAAATATGACCGGTGTGCAGAAGAGTAGTTCTGTGGATTTCGAAACAAGACAACGCAGTTTTCCAATTACATCAACGACATATTAAATTTAGAGAAATTCTCTAACTCAGATTATTGGACCTAACAAATCAGAGAACGGTAATCACTACAGGAAAAAAAGTGAGTTAAAGTTGGATGGTGTTAAATGTTTAAAGGTAATCTGAAGGAAACCGTCCTCAGTCTGGATTTCCTGCTTGTTGGCATTCGTCAGCAAGGCGTACCTACAACCCCAAGGAAAATCATTCCACTAGTGAGATTTGAACCTGCGTTACACAGTGGATGCTACAATCAGAGACGTTTTCACTGGCCTACTCAGGCAGTGACTGATCTCCTCCACATTGATTAGTCATTGGAAATTAATCAGTTTCACTTAAGCAATCGTAAAATTATTCACAAAATGGATGACAAAACGGCGACATTAGGGCTATAGTAGAAATCCTGATTGATACGCAAAATGCACTTGTTTTATCCACATTATCCACATTTTCATTTCTTATTCTTCCACTGACCAATATTTATCGACTTATATATTTCGTATACAGCAGGCAAACAAGATCTAATAGCTGTCTAATGTACCTCAGAAACCAGACAATGAGTATTACTAGCCATCTAAAGAACTATACTACGGGAGGCATCCTAATCAAGGATTATCACCTAATTCCTTCTTCTTCTCCACTCTATGATAATGCTCCTCAGTACTGACATTCATCAAGTGACCAGAACGATAGGCAATCTATAAAATTTCATTTGGGCGATTTTCTTTCACTAACAGAGGATTTTATCACCAATCTCTCTACCACTATTGATGGTAAACTTAAAAAGGAATATTTCAGAATATCTAACTCCATTTAAGGCGGATAAGCCTACTCTGAGTACCTGAAATATACATACTGCCCAAAGCTTTCTTGTCACCATGTATGCCTACTAATTTAGTGACTATCTTACCAACTTGATTTCTGATCAAATGGCTTTTTACTAGGCTTACCTAAACACTAAGGAGCTGGAGATTCCAATGGTATAATCAAAGTCCCCCTTTTCTAAGTGTTAGTAGCAGTTAGTAGGACAAGTGACATATTGTGTCGTTCAACTTCCTTCCGTCTTGAATCCGGTGATGAAATGGTAGGGGAGTATTTCACCTTGTTCAGAGCAACAGCTGTCCTACTTAGTAGGATTTTTATCATTGGAACCCTAAGAGACATGCCTCATTTCTGCTGTGATACCTTATATTATACAGAAACAAAAGATTTATTCGACTTTCTTTTCACGCAAGTGTTTAATGTTTTGAAAATCTGGAAACTTTTGCAAACTTATTTATAATAGTTAAATAACAAATTACCCGTTTTTAAATTCGTCCAATGGGTAGGCATATGATGTGTACCTAGTTTTCTATTTCACAGGTTAGGAGTACAGTTAAATATTGATTGGAATTCATAGTATTTGAGACAATTATGAGATAAATCGCCCAGGTGATCAACACAGATGAAAGCAGTAAAAGATGATGAAGGAAATCTAATAACCAAAAAAGAGAAACAAGCCAAACGATGTGCTGGCCACTTCAAAAGGCTCTTGAATTGACCACCGCCTGCACTTCGCCCAGAAATACCACCTGAAGCCACAGAAATAAACAACACAGGCTCTTCGACGAAAGTCGAAGTCCTGAATGCCATCAAGCTGATGAAATTCAAGAAAGCAGCACGACATCATGGAGTTCCACTAGCAGCACCAAAAACAGACGCAGGGACAACAGCATACTTGTTCACACCACTACTGCAGAAGGTCTGAAAGGGAGGAAAGGTACCTGCAGATTGGAAAAAGAGCCGCCTTGTCAAACACCAAAAAAAGGAAACCTAAACCTTCGAAGGAACTAGCGATGAATCCTGCTCCTGTCCATCGCAAGCAAAATACTATTCCATATCATCCTGGAGAGACTAAACAATGCTCTGGATTCAAAACTACAACCGGAACAGGCTAGGTGGCTTCAGGAAGAACAAAACATGTGCGCATCAAATTGAAACGCTACGCATCATCATTGAACAGAGCATAGAATGGCAGTCAACTCTCTACCCCAACTTCATTGACTTTGAAAAGGCCTTTGACAGCGTCGACCGACAAGTAATTTGGCAGTTGCTTCGACCCTACGGAATACCACAAACCCTTATCAATCTAATTCAACAGCTATATGAGGATGCTACATACCAGGTGATTAACAATGGAAAACTCAGTGACGCCTTCGAAGTAAAGACCGAAGTAAGACAAGACAAAGTTGCCTACTATCACCGATGATCTTCCTGATTGTGGTCGACTGGACTGGATCATGCAACAAACCGTGAGGAGCGAGAAGATGACCATACGCTGGACCGATGAAAAGACCCCAGAAGATTTGGATTTCGCCCATGATGATTTATGTCTCATAACTTATGTCGCGCAAACTTGAAGATCTACAGGCGAAAACTAACAAGTTGACAGGAGAGGCAGTGAAGAAAGACGGGACTTCAAGTGAATGTAGAGAAGACATAGGTGATGAAGATACTCAACCAACAACAGCATCAACAACAATCACCATTAACGGAAGGAACCTAAAGGAAGTAGTCTCTTTCACTTACCTAGACAGCATCGTCTCAACTATAGGCGACACAGATGAGGATTTGAAAACCAGGATCGGAAAAGCAAGACAGGCTTTCACTAATCTGAAATCAGTATGGAGATCTACTGCACTCAGCACAAAGCGCGAGCAAGATCCGGATTTTCAACACTAATGTCAGTCAAGTCAGTGCTTCTATATGGTTCAGAAACTTGGCGCGTTACGAAAAGCATTTCCAACAAACTACAGACATTTATCAACAGCTGCCTACGCTCGATACTGAAGATCATATGGCCAGAATAATAAGAATAACCAACAAGGAACTGTGGCTTGGCAACAAAATCAACCAAGAGCCTACAACCCAATAAATATGCAGAAGAAAGTGGAGATGGATTGAGAAGTTCCGATTGGGGACATCACGCGCTAGGCCCTCGAGTGGAACCCAAAGGGAAACGACATGTTGGGCGTCCGAGGTGGGAGTGACATGGAGGAGATCGTGTGAGGAATAAATGAAAGCTTGTGGGCAGCTGTGGAGCGAGGTTGTAAACACTGCAGAGAACAGTGTGCAATAGAGATGTGCTAGTGAGGCCGTATGTTCCACTAGGAACCCAAGGAAAAAATAATAATAGCAAGTGAATATCTTCACTGCTTCATTCCGTGTTGTTTCGGAAATGATTTTTGACGAAAGTGAGTACTGAGCATCTTGACAATCAGGTAAGATCCCGATACTCTTGATTTCGGTGGGAGTTTCGAAGATGTTCATTGATTCCAAATAAGAGGGAAATAATTAGTTAGAATAATACAATGATAAAAGGAATCGATGCTGAATATTACTACTTTGTACACGATTCGAACAAGGAAAGTTACATTGGTTATTCAAGCTTTAAGAGGTCTAACATGGTGGAACGTGGGATGATTCCAGTGATCCTGTAGAGATGCTCTCATTTGACATACATTCATAGTATCGGCATAGAAATTCCTACTAACTGCCTTAGGTTGATTGGTGGGCACGAAGACTACACCTAGGGGAGATGAATCACCTTGATTCTATATTCATGAAGTCAAATCATCATGAAAGGAGGAACGGAATATGAACTTATTCTTATCATCGGCCATTATGACAACGGAGCAACTCACGTCGCTACGTTTACTTGTTGAAAAGGTGTCATTTCGAAGGCTCAGAAAGTGATCCCTTGACACAATCTTCTGCTTTTGTCTGGATATCCATGCAGTATCATAGTCCATAAAAAATCTATCAGTAGACATTAAAAATTTACTAGTTACATTCCCCATTCTTTTAAAAGGTGATATGTGTGACGTAAATTCAATCGTATTATTTTTCTGACTTTTTAATATTACATACATAAGCAGACACACATTGACTGACTGACAAAATCAACGAAGACTCTCGCACGAAACTGTATCGGTTCCAGTTGCCAAACTTCCCAGTAGTATACAAATAACAGGTGGATAGAACAAGAGTGATACCATAGTAGACAAATTTGTATGAGACAATGAAAATCTAAAGATAACCACATGTGAGAATATTCCAGCTTTAGAATGCCTGAATTAGTGAACACATCTAAGCCACTGTAGCCGATTTTCAGCCGTGTCACCAGATTTATTTCGTCTCAAGGACCGCAACCAAGCAGTCTACATCTGGCAACACAACTCAGAAGAACAGTAAGAGACTTCATTGACTGGTGTCAAGTCTTCCTATCACCACCATCAACCCTCTTCCAACCCAATCGAGCTTCCCTTAGGATGGCACATTGAGGTAGGTGGTGGCTTGGCATGTGTAGTATATTTCCAGTCTATCTCAGTTGACTAAGGTTCACAACCTCATCGACCAGCTTTTCTATCTTGCTGAGTACCCTTTGGTTGACTAACGTAAACATTGCTCATACGTTGATTCCACCAAACGTGAGCAGTGGTACAAAGATATTTCTGGTCAAAACCCTGTAACTGCTTCCTACCTCCTGCTTTTATTGGTAAATGTCTCATGGGCGTATAACAAGGCAGAATGGACTGCAGCACAGTATACTAATCCTTTGATAGATAGTTGGTGCCATAAATAGTGCGAGTTGACAAGTTTCAAACAGGTTTTTTTTGGCATTAATTAGCCCATTTGGGCTTATGCAACTCCCCAAGTAAGTAAAGTGGTAGACACATAGATGCATCTTATGTTCTCCTACACAATTACAGGTCAATTAAACATCCCGTCATGGAGGCTTACACTTCCAGTGTAAGGAAAAAAATGTTTGGGAAACAGGAAGTTTTAGCAAGTCATGATAGCAAAGACAACGAGGGCAGAAATTATTGAAACCTCTATAAAAGTTTAATATGTACTTTATTGTTTAATAGGCTTTGGCAAGAAGAATATATCCGGACACCGTGAAATTAGGTGTGAGTATGATGGATAATATTCGCAACTCAAGTTGATGACTTGGTTGCGTTGCAGTATTCTGTGAGTTGGATGGTTGGATGCTGAACCTTTCAACATTTTTCTGGATAGCATTACTAGTACTAAATTTAATCCTAAGTGAGCTAGCACAATTTCTCCGTGAATAATTAAGCGATCTGCCTTCACGAAATGGAATGTGATCAGTAATCTGCCTTGACTTTTTTTTCATTGACTATACAGATTTCCCAACTGTCAGTTTCTTTGTCTTACCTTATAATTCTCTATCGCTTTTCTTAGTGGTTGATAGGTTACTGGATTTATGTCTAAACATCTATTAATTGTTGATTGACTTGAGTATATCAAGCTTCTAGGAATTCATCTGGCATTCTTTGTGTTTCCTCTGTCCAAGATCTCTACATTTTCAAAATTCAATTCATCTCCACAGTTGTCTAAATACATTGATATAAGTGATGAAGTGTCATGCCGATTAATGAGGAAATAAGGTTTACGTAGACAAAAAGAGGGGAAGAAGGTGGCCAATCACAACAAAACCAACTGAACGTCACCTCATCAGAACAGGTCAACGAATCATTCAAAGAGAAATCCAGATAGCCCACTTCATATTAAAGTTGACAGCTAATAATGCTGTCTAGAAACATAAAGAAAACTTCATGATTAAACCACCCCAGCTCAGAGAATGTAGTAAACTACGTTTAAAAGTAGTAAACGATGCAAGGTGCGACTTCACATAAGATTGAAACACGATCTTTAATGGTAGAAGTACTGCTGTAAGTAGATGGGGCAAAGGATGAAACTCAAGAATGTTTATGATATTGTGCATTACTAATGAAATATGTTAATTTTCAATGAAATATTCATTTGCACAATGTGTTTCATTTCCTCCTCCGCCTCTTCTACTTCTACCTCCTTTTGCTCTTCATACGCCAACGTTGTCTCTTACGTTTCTCTGTGCACAATATTTACCCATTGCTCTTATTTAACCATGACTTACGTCCAACTCTCACTATGTACTACGTATATCCATTTTTATCAATAGCGCACACTACACTACTTTGACTAACTCCACAGCACCTACACTATCCGAAAATCAAGGTCATCTTCCTTAGAACTAATCATAATCACAACTTCTCTTTAACAAATCCCTGTGAATTTATTTTCTTTTTCATAAATAAAGTTATTCACAAAACAGAACATTCTTTTAAGTTTCTTAAATAAACGCAATTCAAATAAGCGGTCAACTTTAATACTGAATTTAGTCTGCCAAATTAATATAAACCTATGAAGTACTCAACCAGATTCACTTAAAATTATGAGTACAATCAATTTTTCTCAGTGTATTCAGTCCAAGCCAAATACCGAAGTAAAGAAAATTTGTAAAAGACTAGCACCATCCGTAATAATCTAGCTCAAATACTGAAATATGAACTGTGACTCACTGATCTCAGTACTCGACTACAAACTAATTGGGTCAATTGTTCGAAACCCACTCTAACTACCGAGAGTTTGAGTATCCAAGTAATACTACATGAAAGCGCAAAAAATTTCACTGTAAATTTGAGTTCATAGATGGAGGTTTGTGGAGATTCATTAATTGATTTTACGTTGGAATTCATCATAGACTGACATCACTTGGAGGAATATTGGAAACCTAGAAGCTCTAGACAGCTGTTTCATCCTAGAATGGGACTTCTTAACAGTGCGCACCCAAGACCCCAATCTCTAGGGATTGAACACAGGACTTACAGGTTCAGTGACCAGCACGTTACCGTTGAGCCACTGAGTGACATACATCCAATGTTATCACTCAGTAATTGTCATCATGTTCGACTTGGTTGACTCCACTGCTCATGACTTTTCATTGAAACTTCAGGAACCCCCTCTCGAAGCTAGTCATCAAAGAGCACTAGATTTAATGGATTTACTGGGTTACGTTTCGGACATCCATAGTCACATCCGGACAACTGCACAACTTTGAAACACACTTCACATAGTTCCAAACTCAGGACTTTCAGGTTCCATGGCCTGTACGTTATAATTAAGCCACTGGGTCGGAATCCAATTGTTTATATTCCCAACTTTTGTCATTTCACGAGGTAGCAAAGTTGGACATGAGGACGATATTAGATGTAAGTCACGCTATATAGTGAACTGACAGGAGTTGGAGATATGGACCACTGGATTCCGACCCAGTGGCTGAATGGTAACGTGCTTGCCACAGAACATGGAGGTCATGGATTCGATCCCTGGCGGGATCACGGGTGCGCACTGCTGAGGAGTTCCATACTAGGATGAAACAGCTCTCCAGTGCTCACAGGTTCCCCATGTTTCTGCAACCGATTTCGATCCATGACGAAAACCAACCTGAAATTAACTTAACACAAAACGAGGAATAATCTATACGGCAGTAAATATCTGTTCAAAACCAGACTCACTTTAACCGCATAACTTTTCACACCATAGTGATCCAGATACCGAACCACGTTCAAATACTCCAGTTCAGCAGCTGCTGGTAGGAGGGAACTGTGAGAAAAACAAATTAGTGAAAGAAATTTACTCCACAAGATCGACAAAACATTTCAATCAATAGATGATGCTAAGCTGAAAGAGAAACTCAAAAACAGAATATAGGGATGTGAAGTCGGGGATTAGTGATTCAAATGACTAATAATTAAGCCATAGATAAGGTTACAAGCCTCAAACACCTCTCAACCTAAGGTGTGTTGTTACGTCATACTAATGTGACTCACCCTATATGCTGCCTGGTTGAATATTTGTTGTATCCATACCCAGCAGGAATCAGTACATCTTTTTCACGTCTCTAACTTTGTTCTCATTCATTCGCATTGTGATTGAGCGACTGTGAAGGCAACCATATAACAACAGCTGAAATGATCACTTAGACCCTTTGATTTAATTAAAAATTGCGTTTCCGGTCGAAATAAATAAATCTAGCCGGCTACTTGAGTCGTTGCTAGGGGGGGACCTTTGACGTTACTTCATTGTGTGGGCAAACAGTCTAATTTCGTCTTCTCTCAGAGTCATCTGGTATGACGTTAGCTGCTGCAGGATCGACTCTGCCATGGTAACTCGATGAATGATAATTGTTAGCCCCTGAAATGAGCATTTCCGTCTGGCCTTTAACCATAGGACCTAATAGAAAACCTAAATCAATATTAAGACGTGGGTCGACTAAGCGATATTGGAATCATCTCAAAAGTTAAGTAGTGGTTGTCCTAAAACACTGTCCATCGGTTGACACGAAAGATCACCTATCTTGTGCGTACACAGTATCACAGTAAAAAAAGCATACATTAGCAGTACATAGAACTTCAATGCAAAATAGGTAGGACATTATGTCTGACAGGCACCTGGCTTGTTTAAACTTTCACTACAGTGAATAACAAACAGACATATAAATATTACTAAAGTTAAACAGGTATCACTTCGTTATCGGTAATTAATGAAGCATAATTTGCACAGGTGTTTAGCTAACTAATTATATTCAATTATTACAAACAGAAAAATAAATCGATTTTTAAAAAAGAAACAAGCTTTTCCTTGTCACTTTTGTCTGTGTTTCGATTTCTAAATTAAAGCACTATTTAAAACAAGAAAAGAATGTAAAAAAAGGCAGGACTTAGTGAATTCATAAGTTTCGTTAATACTCGTCAGCTGGATACGCTCTACATACTTGATCATACATAGATACAGATCCAATACAAAGTGAAGTCAATCACAAAGCTGTTCAACAAAGCCAGGAAAATTTGTTCCAACAGGACACTAGTCTACGAAATGAGGACTTTGAAAAATGTGCTAGTCAAGAATGAGTACCCAAAGAGCGTTACCAACACGCATGCAAAATCGGTAGGAAGCAGAAAAACGTCCCCAGCTGTGCACAAGAAACTATTCCATATCATCTTGCCATTCAGAGGCGACGACGTGCTAGAAGTAGTTCTCCCCAGCACCAAAAAAAGGTTACTGCAACAATAACGGAAAAACAGGGCTCCGATCCTTGACACATCTGAATACGCATATCAGTTCGAATGTACCTGTGTCTGTCTACCCGAATGGTTGAACACCTACAAAAATGGTTGAAGCATACCGAGAAGAAGACTCCGCAGAGCTCGATAACAAAACTCCTAATGCATTATGGGCGTGATATTGATGTCTATAAGTCCTTTACGGCGATAAATAGACAGCAAAGTAAGAAGTTGCTTGGAATTGCAGAAGCCTGCGTAATTCAAGTTATCAAACCAAACCTCGGCATTCAGAAGGAAATGGTAGTCCACTTGAATTTACCATGGTAAGAATTACAACATCATCTAATCATATTCAATCCTCCTTACTCGCTCTTCGCTCTCAATGACAATACATCTCATATTTTTGCTTTCCTTCCCTGATTTTCTTCGTCCAATTAACCTTATTCCTATTACCATTGCAATCATTATTGATCATGCAAATATACACCTGGTTATCTTATTATGTCTGCACAAATGCTGTTCAGCATCTTGTTTTGAATGACGTGATCTACGCTCACTCGATTCAGTTCTCACCCCAGTGTCAACATTACTATTATTATTATTGCTGTAATTTCGTTGGCTGTGGCCAGTAGACGAATCCAGGATGCGCGTTTCGTCCTATTTGGGACTCCTCGGTTGGATGTACCTGTATCCTAGTGAGTGATATTGTTCCCAGTGAGACTCGAACTTCGTACCCATCGCTCCAAACGTCAAGCCGTTGTCCACTATACCACTGTGAAACAATAGCACTTCATGTACAAGAGATAGTAGTTATTACTATTTATTGACACATTTGTAACTCTCCATTGTCTTATTGGATCAAATTGTTCGACCTATTTTTATTATCATTATTTTCCTACCTGAAGCTCACTACTGTCCAAACTCATCGTTAATCATGTAACCTATCCCCAACTCATTCAGTTTTGAACATCCACTCCTACCTTTTGTATTACCGATTGACCTTTGAAAGCTGTTCATTTGTATGCTGTTACACCTAAACCCGTTTCAGTCTACGTTATATATGTATGTGCTTATATATGTATGATCTGCATTGTTTAACGGTACATATGATCAAGTAAGTAGAGAGTACCTAGCTGATGATTACTACCGAAATTTATGAATTTCTTAAAACCTGCTTTTTTACATTCGTTGCTTGTTTTGAATCATACTAAGACATGATGGTGATCATTACATGACGAAAGTACATTTTATATTGTTGTATGCCCATCTTAACAAAAGCTTATCTTTGTTTCTAGAGGGAGAAACTGTTCTACACTGAACAAACGTTTGGAACAGGTATCAACGTCGATGGTATCAAAATTGCCAAAACATTACACGACAGTGAATCAAAAACGTACCACAGTATAGTGAGACAGGACTCTATAAAATGATTTCCTTTCTTAGATTACTATGCAGCTGATTAGCTTAGTTTCCCCCTAATTTCACAGACTATGAGCTACATTTCATACATGAGAGCTTGTGAGACTAACTTAGCTTTTCCAGCAAAACTAAGTAAGATGTGATTTGAACCCAGGAACTATTGTTCGAATGTCAAGTGTCTAAAACTAGATAACCTAGTGAGCCCAAGTTCAGAGAAGTGAGCCAAATAACACGTAACCTATATCTCATGTATTTTGAGGTAAATGGGAGTTTAATTTTCAAGGTAGTATTCATCATGCACTGACATCAGTTTGAGAACGACTGAAAACCTGGGAAAACTGAACAGCTGTTTCGTCCTGGTATGGTACTCCTCAGCAGCACGAACCTACATTGCCACTATGGATCGAACTCACGACCTTTAGGTTTCAAAGCGAACACACTCACCATTCAGTTGTTGTTCCACAGTTTCCTACTTTATCCAAAGTTTTCAGTTGGGATCCGCTTCACTTCTCACATGTCACGACTTCTCATTCAAACTGCATAACTCAGTGAGCCCACTTTCAGAAAGGTGAACCACTTAACTCGAAATCTATATCTTTAGCGCAGAAGCTTAACATACAGTCTGACTGGACACTGAATAGTAAACAATTTCATCTTTTCTAACCCTGAATGCTGACAGAATTCAGTCGATCATTTTATCGTAGGGCCACCAGAAATCTAATAGACTCAGAATTAACGTCTCTGACTACAACACTGGGATGGGGCAAGTTTGAATCTCTCCGAGGGAATCAGTTCCGTCTAGGTTGCAAATACGTCTTGTTGAAGACCTCGAAACCTAAGTTCAGGGCGTCCTGACGATTGCCTACATCCAACTGATATAATTTGACCGTCCAAATATATCGGAGGAAGTCAAGCTTAAGCTGACAACTAACCAATACTTGTATCTGTGGAGCTGAACGATACAATCCCAAAGATAGTACATACTAAACAGAATGTAAGTGAAATAAGCTAGTGAGAGATGTAAATAAACATCCATAGTATAAACGATATCCCAGTCCGAAAGTAAACGAAACTGAACAGATTAAAAAATTACAGCGACAGCTGAAACGACCTGCTAGACTTTTTTATTTTATGAAAATCTGCCTTTCCAGCTGAAATAAAGAAGCCTAACAGGGTATTTTGATCGTTGCTAGGGTAGCCTTTAGAGCTGCCCCTTAACTATACATGATTAATCATGTCCTACTACTATAAGTTATTATTTGTCCCTTGGGTTCCTAGTGGAACATAAGGCTCCAGTAGCATGTCTCCATTGCACTTCTCTCGAGCACAATTGATCAATGGGACACAACAACTGATCAAGTCTTAGCTTAACATCAACCAACGATGATGTGTTATGACGTATTCACCAAAGTTAATAAACTTCTTTCAAATGAAAAAAACTGTGAAGGAGAAATAATCAAGAAAGTTTTGTTTGGCGTATTCGAATACAGGGTCTTTGATCTAAAATTTGATTGTGAGCGACTCCAAAATTTGGCGTTGAAATTGTTATTTCATCACATTCAGGACCTCTGATCTTCTCAAATACACCTAGTCCTACACTAATAAAAGCATATACCACGCATTGACGTTTGTATTGAAGAACCATTGAAAACTTAGCGGCACATTGAATAGCTCTTTCGTCTTACTTAAGAACTCATTAGTGAGAATTCACAACCTTGTAAGGAGTCAAGCTAAGGGCCATCGCGCCCCACAGTGAGTGCGTTGCCATTCATTAGTTTTATTCGAACATTAACCTCATTTTTTCGAACTTCTATCAATTTGCGATATAGTGAGACAATGATGTCATAGGTTAACACCATTACACTGACTTCCAACTTGGAGTCCTAAACAACGACAAAGCAGTGGTTCAAATATCGTAGCTTTTAATAGTCCTCCAAATGACTTCATAAGGTTTAAAAATGTGTAACCAGACAGTTAAAATCAACATAAAACATCACACAGAAGCATAATGCTTTAAAATACTACACTTCAAAGAAGTATACAAATAATAGGTAAGTACAAAACTAGTTATAACGAAGTAGACATAGTTGTGTGAGATAATAAACAAACTGAGGGTAACGG